AGGACGATCCAAAGTTCGTTAAGGAATGGTCGCTTGTGAGTAGTTGGAAGTATGGTATTGGATGGACCATATCGACATTATTATGAATAGATAAGATTCTATTAAGAATGAGTTGTCATATGGCAAATGTGGAAATATTTCCATATTGGGAGTTGGATATTGAGAGTCTATGCCTAGATTAGAAACTTTTATGCAAGAAGGATGTTCAAAGGAATGTACTTTGAATGTGAGACTTCACATCTATGGAATTGTCTTGTAACAATTTCTAAGAAAGTACTTTGTAATTTCATTAGCTAAGTCCTGGTGACTTTTGTGCTATGATTTTGCAAAGGGATCGTTGCATAAAATGTTAGAATCTAGCATATTCTAGTAGTGGCAAGAACCTTGTGTTCTTACACTAATAATTAGGATTAAGGAATTGTGAAATGAGCATCATTGGAAACGTTTCAGTTGATCTATTTCACAAAGCATGGACCATAGGAAACAAAGTGTGCATGTTTAGAGCATGGGACAATTGTTGGTGTAATTCAAGTAGTAAGTTGATTATCCGAAACATTAAATGATAAATAATGAGTAATCAATATGGTGGATAAATAGAAGTGTTTTATTTACTCTCACAAGTTTGGGGCCATATAGGATTAAGTATTATTATTATGTTTCAATTTGCATGTTTTGACTTCCAGAATAACTAAGTTATTCAAACATCCACAATCGGTTATACGTTGGGAGTAGGTATGAAGAAAGACTGTCATGAATCTGTCTGTAGATTTTTTGAAGTGTTTAGACATGGCACAAGTTTGCTGCAGAATTCATGAGTGCTTTGATAAGATTAGAGTATTGGATTAAACCCACGCTCACTTGGATCACTTCGTGGATTTATCACGAGTGATTAGTGAGACGATAATATTGTATATTCTTGAAACCAAGACATGTGAGTTGTTATTTGTTGGTCGGTTACACATTGATAATAAGTAAACACACCAGTAACTTGGTGTTATAAAACTTATTGTTGTGTATGATTCGATCAATAAATGCAAGCGAGCATCTGAGTCGAAGTTTATCCATTCCTTTTACCCAAAGTGGGATAAAAGCGATATATGTGGGCCTCTCGATGATTTAGTGATGACACCTAAGCGCTTGGCCAAGCTGGGACTAAGTTGATGTGTTCAATTGTAGTCTGTTGTCAGTTGTCATAAATCGGAAGTCGGGAAACAGTATAGAGAGAATGATTGAAATTCATGTCTTATGTATATACGATATCTTGAGAATGGAGGAATATATATTCCCTTATCTAGAGGACACGCTATCTGATAAGATCAGAGTTGATAGCGGTTTTTGAAAGTTACGATTGTTGATCAGGTTCTGAAGTCATACGGAAATAGTTATTAGACTTATCCAAGTGGGAGACTGTTGGATTTGTGTCTAAGTCCATAACTATTTTGGTATGTACTTGACCCGATTATGAGCATGGTCCTTTTGGGTTGCCTTCACCATAGCAATATGTAGGATGATTTAAGGAGATAAAGGTTTAAATATGATTTATTAATATATTATGAGAGTAATATATTAAAGGAGAAATCATATTGTTTAATTAATATTAGTCAAGAATTAATTGATAATTAATTTTGTGGCTAAAAGAGATTAATTAAACTTAGGGGACTGAAGTTGTAATTATAAGATAATTATAATTGGGCTATGGATCACCTAATAATATATAGGTTGGACGAATTCTATGGGAAGCCCATTAGAAATCGTCCAAGGGATATGTTTAAGGAGTCCATGGGCTGCTTAGGGCCTAAGCAGTCAGATTAGGGTTTCCTAGTTGTAAACCCTAATAGCCTACATGTATATAAAGGACCCTTAAGCCCAAAAACGCGGACAACTGATTCTCTAGGGTTTCTAGTCATTTTTGGGTAGCCTCTCTTCTTCTCCTCTTCATCCAAGTTGCATATGGTGTTTGTGACTCCATTAGAGGTGCAACACTTGAGGCACTAAGCTTTTGAAGCCAATCCAAGAAAGGAATTGATTGTTATTGCTATATAACAATCAAAGGTAATTCTATAAACCCTAATTCAGTTTATAATATGTTAGATCTGAGTTTGATAGTCTTGGATTCAAAGCATGTACAATAGAGAAACCTAGATCCAAGCATTAGGGTTTGTATGAGCACATAGGATTGTTCTTATGCCAAAAACCCATCAGTTACGTGGGGCGTACCTCCATTGGTACGCTCATCGTACCCAAGTATACACAAATCTAATCGGGGACCTTAACCCAGTACGCGGGGCGTACTAGAATTATGATGGCTATACGCTCAGTTTTGTTTAGTCCATTTTCTTGGTCTTAACCTGTTAAGACCTTAGCTCATTTCTCAGATCTGGGCTTCCTAGTAGCTCTTACTCCATAAAGTCAGGGACTTTAAGCCTTTGCATGGCTGATGTGGTCACAACCACATAAAACACTCATTCTCTTTTCTCACTAAGCTCTTATCTCATGCGTGAATTGATTCTAACATCCAATATCTCATTTTTATGAAACTACTCCGTCAAAAACATTCAAAAGGACAGATAATGGGCTATGGAGTTTATCAAATCATAAAGCTTCAAGCTTTGGGACCAAAAACCATAAAATGAACCATACTATGCACAACTCAAAAAGGAATATGAAAGATTTGAGCTTTATATCTTTCAATGATGCTTCATCCCCATAAAAGCTCAGATCCATAGCCTGGACTCCAACTCCTTTCCCTTCAAGGATCCTTCTTCACTTCCAAGGACTCACAAGGTCATCCCAAGGGCTCTTATGCACTCACAAGCTCTTATGGACAAAGGATTAGGGTTTTGGAGGGTTTTTTCCTTGAGAAAAGTGGTAAGGAATGAGGCCATCTCATTCCTTATATAGGGTCACTTAAAATATTAGGGTTTCCACACTGTGCCTAGTACGCCTAACATACCCTCTGGTACGCCCAGCATACTAGGTGGCTCTTGCTTAAGGATCATGCACATTCGTACGCTAAGCATACACATATGTACACCCATCGTACTCTGCTGCCACATTTCTCAACTTAGGGGCTTATATTTCCAAATCTTCAAACTTCCATAGCTTCTTTCAATACAACGCTGATTCCAAAGGTCCTCATACATGCGTAAAGGTGACGAGATGCCCTACGCTTCTCGCAACTCGTAGCAACCCCGATGCTTCCTCCTGCCCGGGTTGCAACCCACTAACTCTTATCACAGATGATCCAGAACAGGATGTTAAAGTCACCCGAGCTTTTTTTTTTTTTTTTTTTTTTTTTTTTTTTTTTTGTTGTTTGCAAATGCTTTTCAAAGCTACTATCTAGAAACTAACTTTGAAGGTTAGCATCTGATTTCCTTTTAATTTTGTTAATCGGAATGTCTGTACTTGGTAGGTTTTATAGGTGTTCGATTTTATGTATAGATAAAGTAGTTTTATGTATCAATTAATCAAAATTGGTATTTTGTGTGTTTTCTTGCTGCGCCTTTTTTTTTGTGCTCTAAAAAACAAGTGAAGTTGGTTAATTTAGAAAAAAAATGTGATTTTAGACAATCTATCGTGTATTAAATCATAATTGATCATTGATGTTTTTAACTTTTACAGTCTTATTTCTCCTCCTACTCCCACTGTCAAATATAATATTTTTGCAATTGTTGATCATACCCCACTTCAAAGTATTGGATGGTAACCCTTTATTCTAGGTGTGGAATTTTAATTTACATTTTTTCCATCGAATTCATTTATCATTCCCTGTTCATCTCTTGTTTCTATTTGGATAGTATCATGTAAATTTAATAGGGCAATTGTTTTTTTAGATTTATATTTGTTTCCAACAAAATGAAATTTTAGATTATTGTATTGTTTCTTAGAAAAATATAATGTTATTGATGATATTTTTCTGTTTGGACGTCCTTAAAGACAAACCATTTGATAAATTCCACCCTTATTGAACATCAAATTAGGAACCTGTACCTTTTCTTGTGTTAACCTGCACAATATTTTGACTAATTACCAATTGAGCTTCATCCAATATGTCACAACTATAGTACATATCAGGAACCGCCTCATGACTATTTCAATCGATTCAAAGTGGCCTAAAACGATAATCTAATTTGTAAACTAATATTGGATAGTATCATTTGTAACTTTATTTCTTGTAACTCTTTACATCTGTGGTATCCTGTCAACTTCTTTGTACATCTAACATTTGTTTTTGATGATAAAAGAATCTACTCCGAAGTTATGACTCGTCTTAAAATGAATAGACGAAAAAGAACAAATAAATTTGCTGCATTTAGTACATTGTGGATTGAGATAATAAGTTTAGTAAATTGGTATTTTTCATATAGTGAGTACTATTATTTCCATACGTATTTATTTGTGTCAAAGTAGACCTCGCTACAAGATGCTACACCCACAAAGAGAAGAATATATGCAAAGATTAGTATATGAAAGTGACGAGGCTTGTCAACAACAACTAAGAATGAATAGGGTTGCATTTACTAAGCTGTGTCACATGGTTGAGATCATTGGGAAGTGAAAGGCATATAGGTATCTCCAAATCGACGAACAAGTGGCTATATTTTTGTTTATTTTGGCTCACCATGTAAAAAACCGTGTGGCAAAGTTCCAATTTTGTAGATTGGGTTAGACAATTAGTAAACATTTTAATAATGTAGTGAATGCTATTATTCAATTGGAAAAAGAATTGCTTAAGAAACCTGAGCCTATATCAGAAACTTCAACAGATGAACGATGGAAATGGTTCAAGGTATTTTATTTGCTAGACTCAAGTTTATATTTGTAAATTATTAATAGTTAGTATAGTAACTCTCATACATAATTAATTTTGGTTGTAGGGATATTTAGGAGTAATAGATGGGACACATATAAGTGTACATGTACTAGAGAAAGACAAACCAAGATACAGGAATTGAAAAGGAGAAATAACAAAAAATGTCCTTGCTACTTGCACTCTTGATATGCAATTCATTTACGTATTACCAGGCTGGGAAGGATCTGCTGCCAATGGTAGAATACTATGTAGTGCAACGCTTCGAGAAAATGGGTTACAAGTAGCTAAAGGTAACTATTATCTTGTTGATGCCGAATATACTAATGGTGAAGGCTTCCTTACACCATTTAGAGGTCAAAGATATCATTTGAATACTTGGTTGAATGGACATCGACCAGAAAAGGCTGAAGAATATTTTAACATGAAACACTCATCGAAAAGGAATGTCATAGAACGTTGCTTTGGAGTATTAAAAAAAGATGGGCTATACTTAGAAGTCCATCATTCTATCCCATTTAGTCACAAAGTAAGATAATTCTTGCTTGTTTTCTTCTACATAACTTCATACGAAAAGAATTGCCTTATGATCCACTTGACGATGATGAAGTTATTGAAACAAACAATGATGACGATGATGCAGATCTTGGATCACAAGTCAAGCATATAACAACGGGAACATCAAATGAATGGAAAAGTTTTAGAGATAACATGGCTACCTCAATGTTTAATTCATGGAGATCTAGGCATAACTGATTTATGTTGTTCTTTTAATTACATTTTGATAGATTTATTTTGGAATTTATGGTTTCAGTTATGCTTTGTTTACTCATGGCTTCTTATATATCTAATATTTGTTCTTTTACTTCTTTATATATCATTTTTGTTACGTGTTTAAGGTATGCAGTCACAAACTCATGGTGAAAGGGGTCCTGGAAAGAATAAAAGGAAGTTGAATGAGATAGAAGATGCAAAACTTATTGAATCTATGGTTGATATACTCAATTCAGGTTCTCACTTTAAAGTAGAAAGTGGTATTAAGCCTGGGTTCTTTGGTGTAGTGGAAACTCGACTCGTGGTCTCCCTTCCCAACTCGGGAATAAAAGCAAAGCCACATATAAAATCACGCATAAAAACATTGAAGAGAGATCGGTCTGTTGTGCATGATATGATGTCATGGAACAACACAAATGGTTTTGGATGGGATGACCAAAATAATATGCTTGAAGCTCCTCAATCTGTTTGGCAAGCTTATGCTCAGGTAATGTTTTTAATTGAATACCTGATATTATTTTATAATAAGTATTTTTCAGCATAATTTATTATTTATTTAACTTCAGATGTTTTTTTCTAGGTACATAAGAATGCATCAAAATGGAGAGGTAAGAAATTTCCTCATTATTGGGACCTTTGTATTGTATTTGGAAAGGATCGTGCAAATGGAAGAGATGCTCAAACAGCTGCTGATATTGTATCTGAGATAAATAACAAACAAGAAGAAAATATTGATTACATGCAAGGAACTTGAGATAGATTAGAGGATATATATGTTGATGCTCCACTGAATAATGCTACATATGCTCCTACTAGATAAGAATCAAGTACACTACGAAAGAGAAGAAGAAACAATAGTTGGGATCTTTTAATGAATAGTTTAAAAGAGTCGGCAAATATTATTGGTTCAAAGATTGATAATGCAACAAATATCTTTAATGCAGTTCTTGGAATCGAGAGGGATAGAGAAGACCTACATAAAAAACTTAATGTTGAGATGAAAAAATTAGTTGGTTTAACTGTTCATGACTGTAACAAGGTTGTTCGTATGCTTTTAAAAAATGATGAGTTGATGGTAATATTTTTGACTGATGAGTAAAGAGTTTGCTTGATGATGATGTCTGATGTTATTTATATGGATTTTTTTTTCTGAAGTTGCAATTTTTTAAGTTATGAACATTACGGTCAAATCATTTTTTGATAAAGTTGAGTAGACATTGATATGTTTTGATGAGTTAAGTTCTTTTAGAGTTTTTATAATAAATAATTTTTCATATTTATATAAAGCATTTTATGTCTATGTTATAGTTTTCGTTGTTTGTTCAGTTAATATATCTTTATTACAATAGAAACTATAATTTTTTACTACATAATGCTAAAAATATTGAATTTTATGTTGTAGGGGTATTTTTTGTCATTATTAAGTATTTTTATTCCATTCCTTTCTCTGTGTGTTCATACCAAACAATATGAGTGAATGAATCATTCCACTCCTTAAGTGTAACCAAACGTGACAATGGAATGGTAATGTATCATTCCTTTACCTTGTCCATTCCATTACTTGATCCATTCTATTCATTTGCTTTTCTATTACGTCCAACCAAACGTGCTCTATGAGAATTACATATGGAAGAACTTGATGTGTCACTGTGATATAAACTAACAAACCACCCAACTATTGGTAAGAAGATGGATCACTAAATGAGGTACCACACTTTGGAACTAAGCTGAGTATTGGGCTCAAGAGGTATAGAGGCTACATTGTATGGATGAAACTTGAAATTTATGTCACTCTCTCGATTACTCTTTATCATGGAGCACTTAACTTTTGGGCTTTTTGATATCATGATATTTGGTACTCTAGTCATCCTGTTCTCAAACTTCATAACTTAACAATTCCCCCCTACTACAAGAAAAACGAGTATTAGCGGCGAGAAAAATCTTCGCTAAAATTGAGCTTTATCGCCGCTAAAGGTAATAGCGGTGACATGTCGCCGCTAAAGAGTCGCTGGTACTACCCGTCACTATTGCTTAATGTTGCCGCTAAAGCTATCTATCGCCACTAATATTATGCCGTCAATAATAACTGTTATCATTAGTAATAGGTTGTTGCCGGTAATAAACGTGTATCACTGGTAATAGTCATTTTAATTTTCTTAATCCTACCCTTTTTGGTTGCAGAAAAACCCATAATTAATGAAAATAATTGTCGAAAACACGAAAAGATTATATGAAGAAAAAATTACATAAAAAGCCAACTAAGTATCAAAGTGTTATAATTCCATACAAATACCAAAATAAACAACAAACGTGTTATAAAGTTATGTCATAATAAGTCTAACACAATAGAAACTAATCTGACAAACCATATTTGGTCTCCTGGTTTCCTTCTTGATCATCACTTAGTGGTTTCCCCAAATGAAAAAAAACATAAAGTTCCTCCCTATACACTGGGTCATTGAACATTGCACAAAATTTTTCCAAATACATAATAAATAACAACATATATAAACTTATAAGTGAAAGTATCAACATAAACAAAAACTACCAAAGTACATTGCTATTTTTTGCACTTAAATATAAGAAATAACAAAAGTACATTGCTATTTCTTGCGCTTGGGACATAAACACAATTACCAAAACAACATGTATTTATTGATGCCAAAGTACATTGCTATTTTTAACTTGGGACAAAAACCAAAGCACATTGCTATTTCTTGCACTTGGAATATAAACATAATTATTAACATTACAAAATCAACATGCATTTATTGATTGTATATATATATATATATATATATATATATATATATATATATATATATAATATATATATATATATCCATACATAATTTACAAGTGCCTATTGCAACAAAGTCCTAATTTTAAAACACTATTTTAAGAGGTACAACCTGAATGCATGAATGCTAAAGTGGTGAACTCTACGAAGAAATAAATCATATGGATAACAAAGTGTGCCGTTGATCTGCTACAACCATCCAACGATGTAAAATGAAAGCGCACAGATCGCCCCATTGTTGTTCATCTACGTTTCTGCTTATAACCCCTCCTCAAACACATCTCCATTTCCAGTAGTATCGAAACAAAAACTCACAACCGACACTAACACCTCTTACCCTATCCACCTACAAATTTTTCTTTTTTCATCTCTCAATCATCTTGCCCCATTCAAAATTTGCAACATCAGCTGCATCAATACCAGTCGGCTCCTCCCTAACCTGCCATTAAGAACCACCACCACCTATTCCACTCCCGTTCTCATGCCGGAGAGCTTCTCTCCCGTCGCCGCTATAGATCTTGTCAAAACCCTAGATCTAAAAGTTGAATTGCTACTACAAAACAAACCCATCCTAAGGTTAGTGGGTTTGGTTTAGTTTCTACCGGTTCTATTAGGTTTAGATTTCTTTTTGATTTCACATTTTATTTTTTTTATACTAATTTATGCTCATACATATATGATTCCTAAAAGTTGTTTTTATGTTCTTGCAGATTCATTTTTACTCATTTGTGTTTTCAAATGTTATATTTTACTTGCTTTTTCATACAATTTTTTGTGATTTTTAGGTCCCAATTTTGACAAAGGCTTAGCTTTGTTCATAATTTTGGTCATCTAACCAATAGAAGAAGTTTAGCTTAGATTTACGGGGTACATACTGATCGCTAGGAGCTTCCTGGAAATTTCAAGATGTTGGAAAAAGATGTGTGTACACCCCTGATGTTTTGACATATCTGACTGTATGCTTCATTGGTGATGAAGTTTTTGGTTCTATTCCTTTGGTGTACCGTTTGTAACACCTATATATAGAATGCAAAAGAGTTTTAATTTGATAAGCGAGGATGAAATCCACACATTAGAAAAGGAGTTGTCACAAAGCCACACATATGTTGATTTTTGTCACAATGATTTACATTATGGAAATATCATCCTTTATGTCATGTTTGATTCTTCATTGATTGATTTTTTATCTTGTAAACCAAGTAAGACTTAATTGTTTCTTTAAATCTTATCTTTTTAAACACTTTTTTGTGGTTAAATGGTTTTATTTGCATTTGGATCGCCACCTTATCGAGAGTAGTTATGGTGTTGTAAATAACTATTAATCTTTTCACCATGACAATGGATGGAATTGTATAAGTATAGTCTATAAGGAATAATTTGAATTTCTTGATTTATTTCAAGGAAATATGTAAGAAATTGTAAATATGTTTTCATTTATTTGTTTGTACTAGCAACAGGGAAAACATGAGATGATTGAATTTATGATGACATTCTATCACTAGAATTGTCGAAAATATAAGAAGCATGGGCGGATTTAAACAGACAAATGAATTTATAGGAGGATTGCACCCTACATGGAGCAGTTGTTGCAAAAAAGAATGTGCAAGGAACATAACAAATAAAAAATAGTTTCAAATACTTAATTTATCCTTTTTAGTTGTTTAAAAATGTTGATTTTTATTTGTATAAATAACTATTTTCTTAAAAATAAAAACAGTTAAATAATATAATTTTATTTGAATATCGAAAATATTAAAATGCTAATCAAAAAGATATTTATGATACAGTTTAAATATATATATATATATATATATATATATATATATATATATATATATATATATATATATATATATATATATATATATATATATATATATATATATATATAAAAGAAACCATAAATTTTTGGACATCTTGAATTTACTTATGTTTTTCGTATTTTCTGAAAAAGAAAACTTATATCTTTGTGAAAGTTTTGAGAAGATTTATTCATATGATACTTTTTACTTTTCTATTAATATAGAAAACAAAGTCTTTACAGGAGATTGGAGAAGTAACTCATAGATGACAATTCCCATATTCCTATATCATCTATAAACATATTTAAGATTTTTGATTTTTGAATATAACATTAACCATAGATAAAAAGTTTATAAAACATATATATTATTAATAAGAGTTAAGTTTGTTTAAAAATTTTTGTATTCATTATTTAAATTAAATATTAATACATATTTATAAAACATAATATGAATTTGAGTATATTGTAAAAGATTTATAAAACAGAATATAAGTTTGAATAGAGTTTAAAGAGAAATGAATAATATAAATGACATTGATATATAAAAAAATAAAATATAATGACGTGATGATAGAAGCAGAAATCAAAGAGGGGAAAAAACTGTATTTATCATCAGATGAAATTAGTGTTTTTGAAGAGACACATGACATATTACTTTTGTCATTAGTTAGAAATACTCTTTTAATTTTTTTTTTTTCATATAAATATGTAAAGGTCTATTTAATTTAATATTACACTACAATTTTTAACCTAACCCAAAACTGTCCATAATTCTTATTTTAGTTTAAAACAACAATTACTTTAAATTTAACTTGAAATATGTTTATAATCCAAAACCAAAGCATATATATATATATATATATATATATATATATATATATATATATATATATATATATATATATATATATATATATATATATATATATATATATATATATATATATATATATATATATCCCAACAACAAATTAGTTATATTTTTAAACTAAAAATCATATTGTCGATACAAAACTATCCACCCCACCCAGACCATCCCCATCCCTCATGGCAATAATACGATAAAATAAATTATTCCTCAAAACATCCACATATCTTGTTTTTGTTTTGTTTTTATTTTTGTTTGTTTTTGTTTTTGCATATAATAGCA